GGGAAGCAGGATCTGGTAGGGAAGCAGGATCTGGTAGGGGAAGCAGGATCTGGTAGGGGAAGCAGGATCTGGTAGGGAAGCAGGATCTGGTAGGGAAGCAGAATCTGGTAGGGGAAACAGGATCTGGTAGGGGAAACAGGATCTGGTAGGGGAAGCAGGATCTGGTAGGGGAAGCAGGATCTGGTAGGGAAGCAGGATCTGGTAGGGGAAACAGGATCTGGTAGGGGAAACAGGATCTGGTAGGGGAAGCAGGATCTGGTAGGGGAAGCAGGATCTGGTAGGGGAAGCAGGATCTGGTAGGGGAAGCAGGATCTGGTAGGGGAAGCAGGATCTGGTAGGGGAAACAGGATCTGGTAGGGGAAGCAGGATCTGGTAGGGAAGCAGGATCTGGTAGGGGAAGCAGGATCTGGTAGGGGAAACAGGATCTGGTAGGGGAAGCAGGATCTGGTAGGGGAAGCAGGATCTGGTAGGGGAAGCAGGATCTGGTAGGGGAAGCAGGATCTGGTAGGGAAGCAGGATCTGGTAGGGAAGCAGGATCTGGTAGGGGAAGCAGGATCTGGTAGGGGAAGCAGGATTTGGTAGGGGAAGCAGGATCTGGTAGGGGAAGCAGGATCTGGTAGGGGAAGCAGGATCTGGTAGGGGAAACAGGATCTGGTAGGGAAACAGGATCTGGTAGGGGAAGCAGGATCTGGTAGGGGAAGCAGGATCTGGTAGGGGAAGCAGGATCTGGTAGGGAAGCAGGATCTGGTAGGGGAAGCAGATCTGGTAGGGGAAGCAGGATCTGGTAGGGGAAGCAGGATCTGGTAGGGGAAACAGGATCTGGTAGGGGAAACAGGATCTGGTAGGGGAAGCAGGATCTGGTAGGGGAAGCAGGATCTGGTAGGGAAGCAGGATCTGGTAGGGGAAACAGGATCTGCTGGGGGAAACAGGATCTGGTAGGGGAAGCAGGATCTGGTAGGGGAAGCAGGATCTGGTAGGGGAAGCAGGATCTGGTAGGGGAAGCAGGATCTGGTAGGGGAAAGCAGGATCTGGTAGGGAAACAGGATCTGGTAGGGGAAGCAGGATCTGGTAGGGGAAGCAGGATCTGGTAGGGGAAGCAGGATCTGGTAGGGGAAGCAGGATCTGGTAGGGGAAGCAGGATCTGGTAGGGGAAAGAGGATCTGGTAGGGGAAACAGGATCTGGTAGGGGAAGCAGGATCTGGTAGGGGAAGCAGGATCTGGTAGGGGAAGCAGGATCTGGTAGGGGAAACAGGATCTGGTAGGGAAACAGGATCTGGTAGGGGAAGCAGGATCTGGTAGGGGAAGCAGGATCTGGTAGGGGAAGCAGGATCTGGTAGGGGAAGCAGGATCTGGTAGGGGAAGCAGGATCTGGTAGGGGAAACAGGATCTGGTAGGGGAAGCAGGATCTGGTAGGGGAAGCAGGATCTGGTAGGGAAGCAGGATCTGGTAGGGGAAACAGGATCTGGTAGGGGAAGCAGGATCTGGTAGGGAAGCAGGATCTGGTAGGGAAGCAGGATCTGGTAGGGGAAGCAGGATCTGGTAGGGAAGCAGGATCTGGTAGAGGAAACAGGATCTGGTAGGGGAAGCAGGATCTGGTAGGGGAAGCAGGATCTGGTAGGGGAAGCAGGATCTGGTAGGGGAAGCAGGATCTGGTAGGGAAGCAGGATCTGGTAGGGGAAGCAGGATCTGGTAGGGGAAACAGGATCTGGTAGGGGAAGCAGGATCTGGTAGGGGAAGCAGATCTGGTAGGGGAAGCAGGATCTGGTAGGGGAAACAGGATCTGGTAGGGGAAGCAGGATCTGGTAGGGGAAGCAGGATCTGGTAGGGGAAACAGGATCTGGTAGGGGAAGCAGGATCTGGTAGGGGAAGCAGGATCTGGTAGGGAAGCAGGATCTGGTAGGGGAAGCAGGATCTGGTAGGGGAAGCAGGATCTGGTAGGGGAAGCAGGATCTGGTAGGGGAAGCAGGATCTGGTAGGGAAGCAGGATCTGGTAGGGGAAGCAGGATCTGGTAGGGGAAGCAGGATCTGGTAGGGAAGCAGGATCTGGTAGGGGAAACAGGATCTGGTAGGGGAAGCAGGATCTGGTAGGGGAAGCAGGATCTGGTAGGGAAGCAGGATCTGGTAGGGAAGCAGGATCTGGTAGGGGAAGCAGGATCTGGTAGGGGAAGCAGGATCTGGTAGGGGAAACAGGATCTGGTAGGGGAAGCAGGATCTGGTAGGGGAAGCAGGATCTGGTAGGGGAAACAGGATCTGGTAGGGGAAACAGGATCTGGTAGGGGAAGCAGGATCTGGTAGGGGAAGCAGGATCTGGTAGGGGAAACAGGATCTGGTAGGGGAAGCAGGATCTGGTAGGGGAAGCAGGATCTGGTAGGGAAGCAGGATCTGGTAGGGAAGCAGGATCTGGTAGGGGAAGCAGGATCTGCTAGGGGAAGCAGGACCTGGTAGGGGAAGCAGGACCTGGTAGGGGAAGCAGGACCTGGTAGGGGAAGCAGGATCTGGTAGGGAAGCAGGATCTGGTAGGGGAAGCAGGATCTGGTAGGGAAGCAGGATCTGGTAGGGGAAGCAGGATCTGGTAGGGGAAGCAGGATCTGGTAGGGGAAGCAGGATCTGTTAGGGGAAGCAGGATCTTTTAGGGGAAGCAGGATCTGGTAGGGGAAGCAGGATCTGGTAGGGGAAGCAGGACCTGGTAGGGGAAGCAGGATCTGGTAGGGGAAGCAGGACCTGGTAGGGGAAGCAGGATCTGGTAGGGGAGCAGGACCTGTTAGGGAAGCAGGATCTGGTAGGGGAAGCAGACCTGGTAGGGGAAGCAGGATCTGTAGGGGAAGCAGGATCTGGTAGGGGAAGCAGGATCTGGTAGGGGAAGCAGGATCTGGTAGGGGAAGCAGGATCTGGTAGGGGAAGCAGGATCTGGTAGGGGAAGCAGGACCTGGTAGGGGAAGCAGGATCTGGTAGGGGAAGCAGGACCTGGTAGGGGAAGCAGGATCTGGTAGGGGAAGCAGGATCTGGTAGGGGAAGCAGGATCTGGTAGGGGAAGCAGGATCTGGTAGGGGAAGCAGGATCTGGTAGGGGAAGCAGGATCTGGTAGGGGAAGCAGGACCTGGTAGGGGAAGCAGGATCTGGTAGGGGAAGCAGGACCTGGTAGGGGAAGCAGGATCTGGTAGGGGAAGCAGGATCTGGTAGGGAAGCAGGATCTGGTAGGGGAAGCAGGACCTGGTAGGGGAAGCAGGATCTGGTAGGGGAAGCAGGACCTGGTAGGGGAAGCAGGACCTGGTAGGGGAAGCAGGATCTGGTAGGGGAAGCAGGATCTGGTAGGGGAAGCAGGATCTGGTAGGGGAAGCAGGACCTGGTAGGGGAAGCAGGACCTGGTAGGTAAGGATGGACTGTTTTTGTCTCATATTTATTTTGTAAAGTTTGGTCAGGAACTGTAGATATAATTGAAACATTTTTAAGGGTTACTTTAGTGTGCAGTTATTAGTGGGAATGACGGTGAGTAACTTAACGTTATATTAACAAGTATTATAATTAAATGTAGTTGCTTAATGAAGTCCCTTAAGGTACATAGCAACGTGTTTGAGAAGGTATCCTCAATAACTTTAATAATTCTTCTACTAATAATAATATGTTTATTTACTACAAGTACATGTACAAGGTATACACACCATAGCTGACATCACTGACATACTACTATATAGAAAGCCGCTTGTTATGCTGAGCATTTCCCGCAAATTAGGTCAGTTTTGTCCCAGGATGTGACCCACACCAGTCCACTAACACCCAGGTACCCATTTTAAACTGATGGGTGAACATGGACAGGAACAGCAGATGTCTTATAGAAACACATCCTTAATGTTTTCCAACCGTACCGGAGGAGATTCGAACCCCGGACCTGAGTGTGTGAGGTAAGTGCGCAAGGGAACGAACTAAGAGTGTGTGTGTGTCATGAATTTGTTTCCTGTTAAGGAGAATACATAAGAATTTTCCCTGGTTTAGTATGTCAGTGCAATGTTATTGTTGTGTTCGGTCAATTAACACATTTATATACATGTGCATTTTCTGTATAGTAGGATGAAGGAATGTTAATTATGTTCTCAGTTAGGTATTTATGTTTAAGGAAGTAAGTGAAACCCGAGTCCTCAGTTCTCTTGTTAACGGAGGATGCAAAGGAACAGGAGGAGGAGGAGAAGCAGCAGGAGGAGAAGGAAAAGGAGAAGGAGAAGGAAAAAGAGGAGGAGAAAGAGAAGGAGCAGGAGGAGAAGAAGGAGGAGAAGTATGAGAGGAGGAGCAGGAGAAGTAGGAGGTTACAGACATCACTTGCAGTACCTGATAAAGTCAGTGACAGAGAAACAAGTCAGCAGATATAATGATTATTAATTCAGAGAGAGTTTTTATTTTAGACAACATTTAGCTCGTCTATGTTTCGGTCACCTCAGAGACAACCACAAAGTTAAATTTTTTCTTAGATAAGGATTAAGCTTTATCAGTCACAATAAAGCTAATTCCTGAATGCATAACACTAACCAATAAACAGAGTAGTTAAGGGAGTAAATACTCTTGGTGGTTCACAAAATAAAGTGAAATTTTCTTATTCTCATGGAATGTATTTAGTTTATTTCTAGAGAATGGTATTTATTTAATCAGCATTATTATTATTGACATATGTAGCATCCACAGAAATTTGCCACCGAGGCCTGGTGACAAAAAATCTCTCTTCACACGGTGAATATCCGAGTTTACTTCCCAGTGAAGGGTGGAAACAACGGACGTGTTTCCTTACACCTGTTGTCTATGTTCACCCATCAGTAAAATAGGTACCTGGGTGTTAGTGGACTGGTGTGGGTCGCATCCTGGAACAAAACTGACCTAATTTCCCCGAAATGCTCCACATAACAAGGGACTTTCTATATAGTAGTATGTCATTGATGTCAGCTATGGTCTGTATACCTTGTACATGTACTTGTAGTAAATAAAGGTATTGATATGAGATAAGTGTGAGTACAAACCTGAGCCTCCATGGCTCTCCAGACTCCCTCAAGGTTGGTCTTCACGTCAAGAACACTATTACCATCATTGTCCTTCGGGAAAATGTCATTGTCATCCTTCCCTAAAAGAAATCGTGTATCAGGGATTAGTTAATTTCGACACGTTTCCTTACACCTATTGTCCTGTTCACCTAGCAGCAAATAGGTACCTGGGTGTTAGTCGACTGGTGTGGGTCGCATCCTGGGGGACAAGATTAAGGACCCCAATGGAAATAAGTTAGACAGTCCTCGATGACGCACTGACTTTCTTGGGTTATCCTGGGTGGCTAACCCTCCGGGGTTAAAAATCCGAACGAAATCTTATCTTATCTTAATGTTCCAAGAAAGATGTTATCAGTTACTGAGACATTATGAAGATTAAATTACCATCACAAATATGTCATTTTTAAAAATTGCTTTTAATACGCTAATTACAAACTCATTACTCACTTGAGAGAATTAAATGAGTGAATTAGAGCACAGAAAACACAGAGCACATGTGTAAAAATAGAGCAGTAAAGAGTTAAGAGACAGCTCATGGGCTGGAGCTCTCAGTGTAAACTCTATGAGTTGACAAAGTACATGTTACAATGTGATAGTGAAAGTGATCATGACCAACCATGTTACATTGTGATAGTGAAAGTGATCATGACCAACCATGTTACATGTGATAGTGAAAGTGATCATGACCAACCATGTTACATTGTGATAGTGAAGGTGATCATGACCAACCATGTTACATTGGATAGTGAAAGTGATCATGACCAACCATGTTACATTGTGATAGTGAAAGTGATCATGACCAACCATGTTACATTGTGATAGTGAAAGTGATCATGACCAACCATGTTACATTGTGATAGTGAAAGTGATCATGACCAACCATGTTACATTGTGACAGTGAAAGTGATCATGACCAACCATGTTACATTGTGATAGTGAAAGTGATCATGACCAACCATGTTACATTGTGTTAGTGAAAGTGATCATGACCAACCATGTTACATTGTGATAGTGAAAGTGATCATGACCAACCATGTTACATTGTGATAGTGAAAGTGATCATGACCAACCATGTTACATTGTGATAGTGAAAGTGATCATGACCAACCATGTTACATTGTGTTAGTGAAAGTGATCATGACCAACCATGTTACATTGTGATAGTGAAAGTGATCATGACCAACCATGTTACATTGTGATAGTGAAAGTGATCATGACCAACCATGTTACATTGTGATAGTGAAAGTGATAAATGACCAACCATGTTACATTGTGATAGTGAAAGTGATCATGACCAACCATGTTACATTGTGATAGTGAAAGTGATCATGACCAACCATGTTACATTGTGATAGTGAAAAGTGATCATGACCAACCATGTTACATTGTGATAGTGAAAGTGATCATGACCAACCATGTTACATTGTGTTAGTGAAAGTGATCATGACCAACCATGTTACATTGTGATAGTGAAAGTGATCATGACCAACCATGTTACATTGTGATAGTGAAAGTGATCATGACCAACCATGTTACATTGTGATAGTGAAAGTGATCATGACCAACCATGTTACATTGTGATAGTGAAAGTGATCATGACCAACCATGTTACATTGTGTTAGTGAAAGTGATCATGACCAACCATGTTACATTGTGATAGTGAAAGTGATCATGACCAACCATGTTACATTGTGATAGTGAAAGTGATCATGACCAACCATGTTACATTGTGATAGTGAAAGTGATCATGACCAACCATGTTACATTGTGATAGTGAAAGTGATCATGACCAACCATGTTACATTGTGATAGTGAAAGTGATCATGACCAACCATGTTACATTGTGTTAGTGAAAGTGATCATGACCAACCATGTTACATTGTTTTTAGTGAAAGTGATCATGACCAACCATGTTACATTGTGATAGTGAAAGTGATCATGACCAACCATGTTACATTGTGATAGTGAAAGTGATCATGACCAACCATGTTACATTGTGTTAGTGAAAGTGATCATAAACCAACCATGTTACATTGTGATAGTGAAAGTGATCATGACCAACCATGTTACATTGTGATAGTGAAAGTGATCATGACCAACAATGTTATAACTGCTCAAGACGAAGTCAATTGGCAATTTGCCTGATTAATTGTTTCATAATTGTGAAAAATCTGCTAAACTTTAAATTCACAGATTTTGTTTTAAATTTTTACATTGCAAGATGGTCATAATTAGTCATTTTATAATGTTTTAAAAAGTCTTACAACATTCTTCACATTAGTATTTTTTTCTCAGAGCCGATATAATAACAAAAAAAAGGTCTTATTTTATGAATTAAATCTTTCCTGCTAAATTTATTTCCTATTTCACATTTCTAGATTAATTTTTTTTGTTCTGCGAATATAATATTTAATTCCTGCATAAGATTTAGCCGAATTTCTTACAACAGACGTTCAAGATGCCGTGAATAGATTTCAGTCATTATTAAATAAAGTATAGAGTGTTTAATCTATCCAGTTTTTGTCCATTTTACCCGGAGTCTGTACAATCTCAGTAGAATATTCAGTACAGTGAACAACTCACAGTAGACTCAGTCTGGGTCAGATGTTGTCTAAAATTTTGAATAGCCAGTTTGTACAGTCTATGGAAATCTAAGGGAAAAAATTACTATACAGTAAATTACTGTATAGTAATTTTTCATTACACTATGATTATTTTAAATTACTATACAGTAAATTAAAATAAGCATGAAGTTCACAATGGTAGTCAGTATTCTATGATGTCTTTTTCCTGATGTAGAAGTTAGTTTAACATGTTTATTATGCACCCCATACCCATCCTGTGGGCGGTAGTCACCCCATACCCATCCTGTGGGCGGTAGTCACCCCATACCCATCCTGTGGGCGGTAGTCACCCCATACCCATCCTGTGGGCGGTAGTCAAAAGATTACAGAGGTACATAATTGGTCCAGGGACTGGACTCCAAAGTTTTGATAGCTGAGCAAGTTACAGAGGTAATGAATTCACAATTTACAAAGGTAATGAACTCACAATTTACAAAGGTAATGAACTCCAGGTAGGTCTAGTCACAATCATGACAAGTTACAAAGGTATTTACAGATTACAGAGGTACGTAATGGGTCCAGGGACTGGGCTCCCAAAGTTTTGATGGCTGAACTAGGTACAAAGGTAATGAACTCACAAGTTACAAAGGTAATGAACTCACAAGTTACAAAGGTAATGAATCCTGCAAGAATGATGTGTAGAATAAACACTGATGTGGGAGCCGATAATCGTTATTTCCATTTCAATATATATATATGTTTAGTGTTGCATTTGTTTAGTGTGATTGAACAATAAATATGAGCGAAACGTGATTTAAAACATAGATAATTGTGTAAAACATTTGATCCTTTAAAAATAATTAGAAAATGCTAGAAAACTCGTAAGAAAATGCTAGAAAACTCGTAAGAAAATGCTAGAAAACTCGTAAGAAAATGCTAGAAAACTCGTAAGAAAATGCTAGAAAACTCGTAAGAAAATGCTAGAAAACTCGTAAGAAAATGCTAGAAAACTCGTAAGAAAATGTTAAAACATAGTAATTTCGTCCATATAACAGGATCTAATGTTTTATTAAACTGTCGTAAACATCACCTTTAAACATTTACATCTCTATATTTAATAATTCTTGTCTAATTATATTTCTAAAATCAGGGAGAAATTTTAGTAATAATATTTTTCTATATAGATTAACACACAACATAAAGGCGTTTTTTATTACTTATTTCAATCAACTCACTGGTACTTTGCCTCTTATTTATTTACCACTTCTGCCTTTTATCTTGCACCATCAAAAACACAAGACTTATGGCTATGATAATTATCATATTTATACTTTGATATCTCTCTTAAATAGAGGATATACAATGAAAATTATGTTATGGGATGAAGGACGACAGGTGGGCCCAGGAGCTGTAGTACCGCCCATGTCAGCTGGTACCGGGCCACTCAGTTTCATTCTGAGTTACGCCAGGTGTGTAACTATCTTTTCATAATCCAGCAACAGAATGTAGCAAATTTTCTCATAGGAAGGTAAATCTGAGTAGTTACAGAGTGAATTAACTCAGCCTTATCAAGAGTTTTTTTTTATATTTTATTTGGAAATTATTACACACGTTTAGTTATTTTTTTAACTCATCGGTCATCTCTCATCTGGAACCTACGAACCTTGGAACAAGGTACCCAGTGTTCTACTGCCGTACCACACTGGTCAATACCTTGGCGCTCAGCTAATGCTAGACGTTTTTGGTCCAAGGCAGCCAGCATTCACGCAGGTGGTGTTAGCTTTTCAGCTCATCCCCTGCATGTATCGACCGACGAGAGATTTTTCCATGTTTAGAATTCTCAGAACAGGCGAAATATCCACAAACACTAATCTCATGTCGAAGGAGACTCGAACCTACAAAATTTGAAAGAAGGTACGCAGTACTCTACTTCCCTACCGCACTGGTCAATATCTTGGTGCCCATGTAACGCAAGACGTTTTTGGTCCAATCCTACAAGAATTATGCACCCAGCACAGCTAGGTGTTGTACCGTGATCCGAGGACATTCAGTGGTGTGGGTGCTTCAGAGCTAATTTCATCCTCCTCTCCGTTCGGTGTACTAGCCTCCATGAGCAGTATTTAATATTGTAAACACGAATAAGTTGTATTTAATCAATAACAACACTGTGATTAACCTAGGATTCGAACCCATGTTGTTTTAGCCCGCCTCATGGTGAGCGAAAATTCCATGACACTAACCCATGGGACCATACAATCCTACAAGAATCACGCACACAGCAGAGCTAGGTGCTGTACCAAAAAATCATACATGGCAAGCTTTAGCTGTGTATTGGCACTGCGAGAAACTGTTTGTGTACTACATGCTGACAAAAAATTGCTAATCCGTAATTACTGTAATTTATTAATAATTACTGTAATTTATGAATAACTTATGTAATTTATGAATAACTTATTTCCGAGATAATCGACAAAAAAGAGCGCACAGCGAAAAAAGATCAAGAAAATAAGTCACTCTGACTTTTCTGAGTTTCCCAAGTTCTCTACATATATGCTGCTATGTATGATAATCTGTGTAACTGTGTTTGTATATACCTGAATAAACTTACTTAGTTTTATGAGTATATATCACAGTTAGCACTGTACTACACTATTTCTCTAATATAAGTACCCAGGAGAAGATAAGAGAATGGAACTTTATCGCTTATCTTCAAGTTCACAGCAAATGAATGCATGTCGGATCGAGACCAACTACAAGGCGAGGGTCTTTCTTAGGTGTACACAGAAAACAGGAAGTGGGGAAAATTGGTGCATGCAAAAAAATAGTGTGCAATGTGAAAATTGGCACGGTTGTGTTTGTTCGGCACCCGATTATGTGTTCGTAACCAGATGCAAAAAGTTGAAGACGAATTTTTGGTCGTGAACCGATTTCTTTGTGTTCAGAAGCGTTTGTGACCAGAGATTCCACTGTATTTAGTAAATTAGCTCATTGTGGGTCGTCTGCATGATCAAGACTTATGTTAAAGTCCTTGGCAATCATCAAGCGAGCTATGAGTGAAGAGAAAGTAAGCATACTAATCTTCAGTTTGTGTTAGTGAAATTAATTAAAGAAAATTCAGGTCATCTACGTTTATTCACATCATTTACTTAACATAATAGTAGATTGCTCTGTTCCACACCATGAGACTGGAGTGGGTGTTATAGTGCTGGACACATCCAGTGTTTAAGATGCCAAACCAACAGTCACGTTTATATTCCTTCAATCGTATTGAGAGACTTCTGGCCGTGTCTCGGATGTAGAGCTGATCACATCATTCACATGGAACACTGTAGCATGGTAATACAGTGGCAGAATATATCGACTGGTTGTAAATGACAAAATGAGGATTATGTCATTTTATTGGGAAATGTTTCGTCCACTAGGAACTTATCAATTCATCTGAATTATTCTCAATTCTTATGAAATGATAAAGACCCTAGTGTAGGAAACCCACATTTTGAGTCCTATTTATATATTATAGTTTACCAAGTGAATGACTTAATCAATTAAGACCACGTGACAAACGAAATAACGTCTAGAATTGTTAGTTTCGTATTTCTAAAATTATCGGGATATCAAATTCTCTGAACCTCAAAGACAGTAATGACTTATTGCACCGAATAATTGAGATAAACTGTCCATTTATAAGTACAAACTAATGCACGACTTACACCACCACGAAGAAAAATGTGGTGACTGGGTTCTACTTGTCGGGGACCATAATTTGCAGCAATAAAGAACTTGAAACAGAACAAGACTACAACGAAAAATACTTTTCTCGATCTGAAGTATCCTCGTCACATAAAATTCCATTGTAAGCGAAAAGGTAATATAATTCACAACAAGACCGCTAACCAGCACGTGATACGTAGATACATAATTCTCCCCGCTAACACAGTTTTCTCTTCTAGACCATCAGAGACTAACGTCGAACCAAAGGACGTGGATGTTTACAATATACTAGGTGCAATAAGAGGAGTGTGATCAGGTTTATATCAGGAAAGCAATTGTCGAATGTGTTCCAATACTCTTGCAAGAACATAAACATGTCTGAAGGGGAACTTAAATCAGATGCTCGTGTCCAGCACCGAGACCCTTACTGCCATCTCATGGAATGGGACAACGCATTTTTCAATTATTATGAAAGTGATAAATAAGTTAAGTTGCAGATGCCAGGAATCCTTTTATGTTTAACTCGCTAACACAATTAAACAAAAGACTGGTATTCTTACTTTCCCTAGACTTAGATTTCGCTTACTCAACACCTGACTCCTTGGACATCGCTCATTCAACACCCGACTCCTAGGACATCACCCACTCAACACCTGACTCCCAGGACATCACCCACTCAACACTTGACTCCCAGAACATCACTCACTCAACATCTGACTCCCAGGACATCACCCACTCAACACTTGACTCCCAGAACTTCACTCACTCAACATTTGACTCCCAGGACATCACCCACTCAACACCTGACTCGCAGAACATCACTCAATACCTTGCTACCCGTCCTGAATGCATATATAAGACATAATTCTATGTTCCATTTCATGTACTTGATGCATCAGATTTGTAGCGAAACGTTTAACCAGTAAAGATTCATTTACTGTGTCATTTACATCCATATTATAATAAACATTACTTATGCTGCCTACCTTTCAGCCCACATGGGAAGTGAAACAGGTACAGATCAACATATTTCAGCCGCAACTTATCTAATGACTTCTGAAGAAATCTTGGTACATCCTCCTCTCGGTTTCCAATCATAGGTAACTGGAAAATTTATAATTATATTATTACACCTAATAATTACTGGTCTTACACAAAATTAATGCATCTGAAGTAAAACACAAATAAATGGAATGTGAAATGCTGGCAGCTAAACATATTTGTATTACATAGATGAAAATATCTAAGAACGCTGAGAGAGCTAATATGTATGGTAAGAAGGGAGGGCGGATGAATGAGAGATAGTTAAGATATGTAGTTAGAATGTTATACAGATAAATATGAGAGATGATTAAGGCGTGAGACAAGAATGGAGTGCAGATGAATGAGACAGCATATAACTGGTCTGCATTGAAGGTACACACTGATTCATGTGAAGAAGTGCTAACGAGAAGTACGTAAGCAAGTGTGAATTATCATGTACATGAAGAACGTGAACCACCAGGAATATAAAGCAACATAAACCATCTGGTATATGAGTAAGAGTGAAGCATCAGGTATTTAAACAAGAAATGACACCTTGAACATTAACCAGTGTGAACCACCAAGTACATAAAAGAAGGTTAAACCATCACGTACATAAACAAGGGTGAACCATCAGTTAAAGTAATTATTATAAGTATGCTCGCCCTTTAGCACGTCTTTAGCAGACTATTTGATGGCAGATTCGAGAATTGCCAGGGCAACTTTAGCATGGAAGACGGTGTCCACTTCCATACTGCCAAAGACTTAAAGAATTGGAAATTAGACAGATATGCAATATCTGGGTGTTTTTACTGTAGACACATCGCCAACCATTGGCTTTATCAGTGTATAGATAAAGCCACTGGTTGGCGAAACGTCTACAATAAAGATACCCAGATGTTGTACATGTGTCCAATTTCCATCTTGTGATACTCTATACCATTCATGTGCAACACATCAAGAACTTACTAAATTATTGTGATTTTTTCCCCAGATTTTAATAACTGGACTAGAAAGTCACTTAAGATAAACGCGATAGAGAACGTCTGGAAACTTAACAAGTGTAAATTTTATAGTTTGATGTTTTCTCTATCACCAAAACCTCCATTTTCATTCCGCTGGTATGAGAATTTACTGACTTTTATATCCTTCATTAACTAATCTTATCAGCACCTAGGAGACTTAGGTAACTTGTCCCGTCTATGAAGTCCTCAGGTTTGCGAACTCCCCTTTCTGGATGTCTTGATTTACTGTCTTAATTGAAATTTTAAGTCCATGAGATACAGGAAGGCACCCAATGTTTGTTCCTATATCCATGATATCCTATAATCATGAAACCAAAGTAAAAAGGAGTGGATTTCTTACTATGTTTTTGAGAACCTTGCTAGTTTGTAGCTCTGAGTATCTTGATGAGGAATTTATGAAAATCTTTGACATTGCATTGAGACTATGGTGCCATAAGAAGTTCTTAGAAAAGTCTTTGATAGAGGCTAGAAGACTTATTATAGAAATGAACCTAGGATAAGCCCACAGATTAGGAAGGTTGTTCATGGAACTCCGTGTTCATCAAGAACTGTAAGAAGCCCCTATCACGAGCCTTTTCCATCCTATGGAGAGGGAGCATGGACACGGGGGTCGTCCCACAGTTACTAAAAACAACAGACATAGCCCCACTCCACAAAGGGGGCAGTAAAGCAACAGCAAAGAACTACAGACCGATAGCACTAACATCCCATATCATAAAAATCTTTGAAAGAGTCCTAAGAAGCAAGATCACCACCCATCTAGAAACCCATCAGTTACACAACCCAGGGCAACATGGGTTTAGAACAGGTCGCTCCTGTCTGTCTCAACTATTGGATCACTACGACAAGGTCCTAGATGCACTAGAAGACAAAAAGAATGCCGATGTAATATATACAGACTTTGCAAAAGCCTTCGACAAGTGTGACCATGGCGTAATAGCGCACAAAATGCGTGCTAAAGGAATAACAGGAAAAGTCGGTCGATGGATCTATAATTTCCTCACTAACAGAACACAAAGAGTAGTAGTCAACAGAGTAAAGTCCGAGGCAGGCACGGTGAAAAGCTCTGTTCCACAAGGCACAGTACTCGCTCCCATCTTGTTCCTCATCCTCAAAATGCGACATAGACAAGGATGTCAGCCACAGCACCGTGTCTTCCTTTGCAGATGACACCCGAATCTGCATGACAGTGTCTTCCATTGCAGACACTGCAAGGCTCCAGGCGGACATCAACCAAATCTTTCAGTGGGCTGCAGAATACAATATGAAGTTCAACGATGAGAAATTTCAATTACTCAGATATGGTAAACACGAGAAATTAAATCTTCATCAGAGTACAAAACAAATTCTGGCCACAAAATAGAGCGAAACACCAACGTCAAAGACCTGGGAGTGATCATGTCGGAGGATCTCACCTTCAAGGACCATAACATTGTATCGATCGCATCTGCTAGAAAAATGACAGGATGGATAATGAGAACCTTCAAAACGAGGGATGCCAAGCCCATGATGACACTCTTCAGGTCACTTGTTCTATCTAGGCTGGAATATTGCTGCACACTAACAGCACCTTTCAAGGCAGGTGAAATTGCTGACCTAGAAAATGTACAGAGAACCTTCACGGCGCGCATAATGGAGATAAAACACCTCAATTACTGGGAGCGCTTGAGGTTCCTGAACCTGTATTCCCTGGAACACAGGCGGGAGAGATACATGATTATATACACCTGGAAAATCCTAGAGGAACTAGTACCGAACTTGCACACGAAAATCACTCACTACGAAAGCAAAAGACTTGGCAGACGATGCAACATCCCCCAATGAAAAGCAGGGGTGTCACTAGCACGTTAAAGACCATACAATAAGTGTCAGGGGCCCGAAATTGTTCAACTGCCTCCCAGCATACATAAGGGGGATTACCAACAGACCCCTGGCAGTCTTCAAGCTGGCACTGGACAAGCACCTAAAGTCGGTTCCTGATCAGCCGGGCTGTGGCTCGTACGTTGGTTTGCGTGCAGCCAGCAGTAACAGCCTGGTTGATCAGGCTCTGATCCACCAGGAGGCCTGGTCACAGACCGGGCCGCGGGGGCGTTGTCCCCCGGAACTCTCACCAGGTAAACTCCAGGTAATAGCTTAAGCTTGTTCAAACTAGATGCATTTATGATTGAGTTTACTGTACATAATTTTAACCCCTGTGATTTCACGAATGCTCCTGACAGCATTCAATGCCTTGATTCTACATAGATATCAGGCAACCTGTTACGTATCACATACAGTTTATCTCCCTATATGTTGTTGTGTACAGTTTTATTGTTTAAGGACCCCTCAAGGAAGGTTCCTTGATGTTGGTGAGGGGCTCTTGATTTAGGGAATTGGATCTGTGCTCCAGTTCCCCGAATTAAGCCTGAATGCCTTCCACATCCCCCCCCCCAGGCGCTGTATAATCCTCCGGGTTTAGCGCTTCCCCCTTGATTATAATAATAATAATATTGTTTAAGGATTAATTTCAACAGTTATGTCACTTGGAATTGTACCCACCGTTCCTTGTGTAGGTGTTGGTTCCTCCTGGGTCCTTCCTTTGAGCTCTAAAGTCTTCATGGTTTTCGATTCCTTCCTTGGGTCATTGTAAATATATACGGGAAGGAAATAGAATCTAGGTTGACATGAGTCTTGTTGGTTCTTCATTCTGTTTGTCTAGTTTACCCGTTGAACAGTAACCTCCATCCTCCTTAAACAGGTGATCTATTCAGATTATATTCTTTTTCACGTCGTATAAGAATTTGTATTTAATACGTGAACAGGGGAAATTTTTTACTTAATCTTCAATGAGTTATGACATGAATGCTTTTTCAAGTTAAAATTTAATTTAAGTTTTGAAGCTTTTTGGATCCAGTAAATAAACAGCAGTGGCTAACGCGACGGTCTGGAGTTCTGAGACTCTCTGACCCTGACCACGGGTTCAAATCCCGCCCGTGGTTTTGGTTTATTTGCAATCGTGGGCATTACATTTTCGTGAGTCAGCATTGTCCTGTTTCCTGACGAATTTGTTAGGTAAGACACATATGCAACAGTTAGGTATCTTTATTTTTGAAACGTTTCGAAATAAAGATACCTAACTGTTGCATGTGTCTTACCTAACAATCTGTTTGGTATTTTATTTCCATTTTAATGTTCATTCTGACGAATCTTACTTAACCTAACCTTACATAGCATTTATTTGTTAACCTTGTCGAGTTTATGAGCTTACTACGTAAGAGTAATACCACAAACACGAGAAAAACGAGTTCCTTCTCCTTAGATCGGATCGTATGAACACTCGGCTGCCTGGCGTAATATTTAACATGTCACTGGCGATATATTCTCCCGTTTATTACCATAATTGCGAAGCTTATGAACAGGCTGTCTTTTTCTGCTGTTTTTTAAATGGTTTCTTGTACCTCTGGCACCTTTCGCTAGATGAGTTAATCGAATGAGGGAGACGAGTATCTCCTTCTTTACTATCAGGTTTATTACAGAAACAATGGGTGGGCCTTGAACCCATGAGGTTCGAACTCATGGCTCGAACGTCAGGGGCACCATCTTTAACCAAACTGAACCCCTTATAACAGCCCAGCAGCTTTAACAGATCTATTCTTGCGTTTCTTTGGGTCATATAGTCTATGAACACAGATTGAGTTATAATTAACAACTGTCAATGAATAAACAAAAAGACGGACGGGGGGAACCACGGCCAGTAAATTGATCTGTAACCCAACTCAACTCCTTCTGTTTTAAGGAGTTCAGTTTGGTTACAGGTGGTTCCTCTAACGGAATATAACACAATAAATACTAGTTCTGACCCCTTCCTCTTGTAAGCTTGGTGGTGAAGGCAGTAGAGCGTCGGACTGTCAGTGGTAGGTTAATAATGCGACTGGTGGTGTTAGCGTGATAGTTGTGGTAGCTGTGTGTGTGGGATGAACAGGACCAGGAGAGGAAGGGGCTTGCAGTAGGAGACATGACTTCCTTCTAGGGTTGGCGCTGGTGCCACAAGCATCTTTGTTCCAACTTCCACCCCATTACTTCACTGGCATTGTTCGTTGA